GCATGTTTAGAAGAGAAATACTGAGTAACTAGACTCTTCAGGAAAATACTGTGTCAAAAACTTCAAGGTGACTGACTACTAAAAGAATAAAAATGCAACACAGACCCTCTCAAACAAGTAGAGGTGGGAGGTAGGAATGAGTTTAATAAATCCAACAGAAATCAGGAAAAGAGAGAAAAAAGAAAAAAAGTATGGTAGAGATAAGTTCAAATGTATCAATAATTATAATAAATGTAAATGGATTAAGCCCATCTATCAAAGTAAGATTTCTTCCTTAAATGTTTGGAATAATTCACCTATGAAACATCTCAGCCTGAAATTTTCTCTATGGGAGGTTTTTAAAATACAGATTCAATCACTCTCTCTTTTTTTGATGTTTATTTGTCTTAGAGAGAGAGAGAGAGAAAGAGAGAGAGAGAGAGAGAGTGAGAGAGAGGGGTAGGGGCAGAGAGATAGTGAGACACAGAATCTGAAGGAGGCTCCAGGCTCTGAGCTGTCAGCACAGAGCCCAACACGGGGCTCGAACCCACAGACTGTGAGATCATGACCTGAGCCAAAGTTGGACGCTCAACCAACTGAGCCACCTAGGCACCCCTACAGATTCAATATCTTTAACAGATTATGATTATTCATATTTTGTATTCCTTTTTGTGTTTATTTTAATAAATTTTTAAAAGAACATTTCATCTAAGTAGATAATTTTTTTGGCATAAGTTTGTTCATTCATAATATCCTTTCATATTTTGAATAGCTTTTTAAAGATATAATTAACACACCATACAATTAAACCACTTAGAATGTACAATTCAATGATTTTTAGTGTATTCACAGTATTGCATAACCACCACCACAATCCATCTCAGAACATTTTCATCGCCCCAAAGAAACCCCATATCCATTAGTAGTTTCTCCCCATTTTTCTGAGTCACCCTACCCCTAGCAATAGGCAACCACTAATCTACTGTCTATCTCTATAGATTTGCCCATCCTGGCAATTTTATATAAATGGGATCATCCAATATGTGGTCTTTTGTGACTGGCTTCTTTTATTTCACATAATGTTTTCAAGGTTCATCTCTGTTATGGCATGTATCCAGTTAGTTAACATGCAGATATATCATTCACTTTTATGGCTGAATAATATTCCATTGCATGGCTATACCACCTTTTGTTTATTAGTTCATCATTTGAAGGAGATTGGGGTTGTTTCTAGTTTTTGGCTATTATGAATAATGCTCTTACGAACGTTCATGTAAAAGTTTTGCCAGACTGTCTTTTAAAGCAGCTGCACCATTTTACATTCTCACCAGCAGTATGTGAGGGTTCTAATTTCTCCACATCTTTGTTAACACTTGTTATTATCTTTTTTATTTTAATCATCCTAGTGGATGTGAAATGGTATCTCATTGTGGTTTTGATTCCCATTTCCCTGATGTCAATGATGCTGAGTATCTTTACATGTGCTTGTCGGTCATTTGTTTATCCTCTTTGGGGAAATGACTATTCAGATTCTTTGCACATCTTTACTTATTTATTTATTTTATTTTTGAGAGAGAGAGAGACAGAGTGCAGGTGAGGGAGGGGCAGAGAGAGAGGGACAGACAGAATCTGAAGCAGGCTCCAGGCTCTGAGCTGTCAGCACAGCACCCAATGCAGGGCTTGAACCCACGAACCATGAGATCATCACCTGAGCTGAAGTTGGATGCTTAACTGACTGAACCACCCAGGTACCCCACTTTGCCATTCTTCTAATCGAGCTTTTTGGTTTTTTTACTAATGAGTTACAAGAGTTCTTTATATATTCTAGATACATATTTTATCAGGTACATTATTTGCAACTATTTTCTCCTGTTCTGTGGGTCTTTTCACTTTCTTAATGCCCTTTGAATCTTTTTACTAGTTTATTATCTGTAGGATATATAATGTTGTCTCCTTTTACATTCCTACTATTGATAATTTCTGT